TCCAGGTCGACAGGGGGCCTGTCGACAACTGTGTTGCTGCTGTACGTGGTCTGAAGGTATCCTGCTCCACTTCGCCATAGATCTTGAGCCATTCTGCCTGCTCCACCTTGAACGCGACCTTGGGGCCTTCTGGCTGTGGCTCCTGAGAAGGCAGGTCATCAAAAGCCTCGCGTAGCTCTTCAGGAAGTTCCTGTCTGCGTGCATCTGCCACCTGCTTGCGTTTCAGGGATCGCTTGCTGTCTGGGTTTGGCTCCTGCTGAGGGCGGTTGGCCCTGGGTAGCGGTTCAGGAAGCTCCAACGACCTATGCCACCAAGTCCGCTTGGCGTCCAGCACGTCTATGGCAATCGCGCAGTGAGTCTTCCAAGGTACCGCTACTACCTGCCTGAGCCTGATGCGGTCCGAAGTAAGCTGCTTAGAGACAATCGCATAATCATACATTCGTCCCTGGCCCTTGTCGCACGTGAACTTGCAGTTCGGCAGCGCAAGCCGACCTCTGAGTCTGTCCACCCATCCACTATCCAACAGGGTCTGCGGTTCATTGTTCCAGTCCGCCACAATCACCCAAGGATCTGCCAGAGCTTTGGTAAAAGCGCCCAAAGCCACCAACACCTCATTGTTGTACTGCGAAATCCCCAGTGACGGTAGCAAGTACGCTGCAATGTATACAAGGTTGCCTGACTTGAGATGCAGCGTCGTGGCCGAGAAGCCTTTGAAGGGATCCATGCGCGAGTCAGCAATCGCCTGGTCCCTCAATCGATCGAACTGCGTAGCTGCCAAGTGACGGCGCGTGAGAAGCCACTCACCTGCAGAGATGCCTGAGTCCGACTTCCCTGAAGCAAAGCCTGCCTTGAAGGAGAGCCTCCACCCGTCCTTCCTGAGCTCCTCGGTCCAGTGGGCGCACTTGGTGTCGGGGACATGCGTCTCGACCAGCCCGACGATGGCATAGGTGTTTTTGTGACTGTTCACAAAGCTGCGAACCTTGGCGCCCCACTCGGTGATGTTCGCGAAGAGCATCGTCACGTGCTTGTCGGACGTGCGGTGCTGCAGTACAGCTGGCTCTTCGTGTGTGGGCGCATTGTCACCAGCGTGGATCTGTCTGCCACGTTGCGTTCCTGACGCCACATTACAGTCCCGAGGAAGGGCGGCATCCAGCACAGGCAGACTCGACGAGGAGTTCCCCGAGACACCCAAGAGCGCGGCCTCAGGGCCTCCAAGAGACACCTCCCGAGACGGGGCAGGGCTGGAGCCTATGGCGTCTGGCCTGCATCCTATGTTAGACTCCACCGTACAGAGCTCCCCCTCGTTCCCGAACTGGTCATCGAGGTAAGCGAAGGGGTCAGCATCAGGATCGTCCAAGTCATCACACCGAACTCGACCTCCGTCCGCAGGTAGGGGAGCAACGCGATGGCCGTCAGGAGCCTCAGAAGCCTGATGTTGCATGGCATGTGGATTCGTACTATGATTGGCCTGTCCCAGGCTGGTCTCCGCATCCGCCAGCATCACCAGGTGAGCAATGCAGGCATCAACGTCTGCCTGATCATCCTCTGGGTCTGGCTGTCTGGGGCGAGGAAGCCGCACCGTAGGGAAATCCGATCCCAAAAGCCTCCTGAACATGGCTCTCAGCTCCTCCAAGCGCTCCCAGTGGCGGCGCTGCAGCTGAACGCGACTCTCAAAGGGCGCCGTACGTAGCCTATCAAGGAAAGCCTCTCGCCTGGGCTCAGACTGCCTCCATGCCAACTCACATAATTCTTCCATGACTGATTGTAAGGTGCGACCTGGATACCAGGCCTGCAACAAGCGGCGCAAGGGCTCGTTCCCTTGTCGCTCCAGGATCGTGTGCAGAAACGCCTCGCACCAAAGCCGCCAGTCAGCACTGCCAGCGTACAGCCCACGATGTAAGTCAAACCAAGCCGCTGCCCAATCTCTGAGGTCAGCACGCATGTCAGCATAGTCCTGTACTGCCATCGCTCTGGTCTCGTCAGCAGGCGGCAGGCCCATGGCCTGTGGTGTATCGGTTGCCGTCGCGACTTCACCACTGCTGCCTGCCCCGCAAGATAGGCGAGTCCAGCAAACTCCTGAGCCCCCACCCACACGCGCTGAGACCCCCGCCTCCTGTGGAGAGGGTGCCCTGGCGGGTGGAAAGCCCAGGTGCGACTGTGAACCTGCACTGCTCTGGGCAGCCCAGGATTTGCGCTCTGACGAGTGAAATCCTCCAGCTGGTTGAGGAACTGACTGCATGGAGGGCGATGCATCAGGAAGGACGTGGCTCCGCAGAGTGCCCGTGGCGCCAGTGGCGCCCGACTGACTCGCCCACGCCGCAGCCGTACTGCTCGCAGTCCCAGACGGCTTAGAACACGGTGTACACGTCGAAGGGGTCCCCGTCATCTCAAGCGAACTCGAAAGTGGGGCCCACTGCATCATAACACGAACCTTCCGTATTGTATCCAGCGCTTCGTAGTAGAACTTGTCAGACCGCATAGCTCGACCAGGGGGAGCACATGCATGAGCAAGAACGTGGTATGCACATCCAAATGGAATGTCCGTGCCTGGGTAGCATTGGAATGGCGGCGTGCGCGAGATGAGCTTGAGCACCCCAGCTGACACAGATGTCCCTGAATCAGGTAGCTGCTGGGCACTCGCTGTTGGGGCCCCCCCTGCGCTCGAACTTGGCCAATCTCTCTCGAACTGAGGCGAACTGTGCCTGTTGATGTGGTAGGGAGCCCTGTCCCTCTGCAGCTTGGCCAAGGGGCTCCGAAGTGGTCTCTGCGCCCTCACCACCAACACTAGCTGACTCTGGCTGGGAACCCTCTGCGCCTCCTGGCTTGGGCTGGGTTTCATCGTCAGCATCCTGCACTCGACGACGTTTGGCCAGTAGCCGCGTCTTCTGTGATTCATGCTCCTGGACCACTCGCTTGGCCTCATCCAGAGCTGAGGCGAAAAGATCCTTGGCCTTCGTGGAAAGGAGCTCCCGCAACTGTGTGGTACGTTCTTCGATCCGTAGGCGATCGTCCTCATCCAGCTCCAATCCATCAGGCATGTCTGACAGGAGGCCCAGATCGAAGTCCAGGGTGCCCACCTTGCCAGACACGAGGTCCTCCAGCTTGATCCGAGCAGGCGCTGGTCCTGGTTCAGGTACGGCAGCTTTGCCTGTGGCAGCGAGCTTGCGGGCGAGCTCCGCGTGTTGGGTGTCCATGATCTCCAACTCTGCACGAAGGCCCATGATGTAGTCCTCGTGCTCCTGCAGCTGGGCCTTCCACTTGTCATGCTTGTCCAGCTCACGAGAGAGCCGCTGAAGGAGCTTGTCACATTCACGTCGCGATTCAGCCAATCGCTGCTCCATGGTCTTCTCAATGACAGGGGGGGCAGGCTTTGCCAGGATGTTGATGCGCGCCTGAACCCTCGTGGCCAAGTTCTTGTCTCCCGTCTTGTTGGCGATGGCCAGCAGAGAACCCAGCTCAGTAGCATCCAGGCCATCAAGGCTCGTCCAAGCCAGCGCTGGCGTGGAGGAGTTCGGACCTGGCTGGAGGCCGGCAGCCAGCGGCAGCCGGTGCTCTGAACTCTGACGGCTGTCGTTCCACGAGTTGTCTGATCCTGACCACGACCTGCCTGCCCGAGACGGCCAGTGCTGTGGCTGGGTCCATCCTGGCTCTGGTGTGCGATATGAGAAACAATGTTTGCACCACTGCCATCTTTCCTCGTTGCGTGCACATCCGCAATGACCGCATCGCCACGAGGGCCCTGAGACAGGGGGCTTGTGTAGCTTGCGTCGCACGACAGTGGCCTTCTTATTCGTCGACCCGTCAGCACGCCACGGGGCTGAGCGCAACTCATCCGTTCCCATCGGCGTGCCGTGGCAGGCAAAAGAAGGTACGTTAGTATGCCTGGCAAGCCAGGAGAGCAGTTGGGGCCGCGTGCACCAGAGAGGTGCCCCCTTGCCAGAATGCTCACGTCCGCTGTTGACGCTCGGGCCACGCTACGGACTTGAGCCAAAATGGCTACGGACAGGAGGAGGGAGGAGGAGGACGAGGAGGAGGAGGAGGAGGAGGAGAAGGAGGAGGAGGAGGAGGAATAGGAGGAAAAGGAGGAGGAGGAGGAACATGAGGAGGAGAAGGAGAAGGAGGAGGAGGAGGAGGAGGAGAAGGAAAAGGAGGAGGAGGAAAATGAGAAGGGGGAGGAGCAGGAAGACGAGGAGGAGGAGGAGGAGGAGCAGGAGGAGGAGGAGGACTGGGGTGGAGAAGTGCAGGAGGAGGAGGAAGATCCCATGACCAAATCCCTCCTCCTCCTCCTCCTCCTCCGTCCTTCGTCCTCCTCCTTCGTCCTTCGTCCTCCTCCTCCTCCTCCTCCCCCTCCACCTCGAGGGAACACAATGTACGCTGGTCCGCTCGCTCGCTCGCTCGGGCGAGCGAGCCGACCAGCCGGGCGAGAAAGCCGAGCGAGCGAGCTCGAGGGAGCGAGCGAGCGAACAGACCGGCCGAGCCGGCCGAGCGGCTCCCGCGAGGCGGGAGGCCTTCGCAGGAGGCCACCCTCTTGGAGGCCCAGGAGTGGGCACCAACACCAAGACAGGGGGTTGCCTCCACAGGGGGAAGGTGATCCTAGATTTAGGTCGGGCCTGTGCCCCATACAGGGGGATTTTGGATGAAAATTGAGAAATACTCCCAAGATGCTCCCCAAATGTTCAAAAATAGTCAGACATGGTCCCAGACTATTGTTTTTTTTATTATTTTTGAATTTACCTTCTGTAGAGGGACAGGCCCGATTCAATCCTAGATTTCGGTGTTGGTGGTAGTAGTTCGGCCACCCTGAAAGCCGGAGTAGTATCACCATCGCCGAGATCGGGATCTTCTTCCCTCGGTGCAGACACACCACCGATATTGGTGTTGGTGTCAACCTCGAGGCCTGCGACCCTTCTCGGCCTGCGAACGTCTGCACGCTACTGGGGAGGTCCAGGGCCATGCAGGCGCTCCCGCGGGCATGCCGCGCGAGCTCGGCGGCAAGCTGCTCACCGGAAGAGCGCCAGGCCGTCGGCAAACGCCCTCTCGGAGAACTCCGGATTTACCTGAGGGGGCCCAGCGACGCACAAATAAATGCACACTAATCCCAGGATTCCCCATATTTTCCCATATGTTCTGGGCTTTCGTCTTCCCCCCCCCATTTCCCATACTTCCCCACATGTTCTGGGTAATTGTGTCATTGTTTGTCCCTCCTGATTACCGCCCTGCTGGCCCACTTCTCCTTGAGCTTCTCCACTCTGTCGGTTGGCCACGAGAGCAGGTCCCCTACCGAGCAAGCAGCCTGCTCGAGCAGCTCGTCTGGGGGCCTCACGAGCACCCCCGCGAATGCAAGATGGTGGTGCTCGGCCAGCAGGCCCATGCCGCGCAGGATGCGCGCCGTTTGCGCCGCAAGCGCCTGCGAAGTGTTGCGCCCGGATGCGACGCCCAGCTCCTTGGCTTCGAGGCGGCCAGGGGGCCCGAACTGGCTGGGGGCCCAGAGAATCGGCCAGGAGGGGGGACGAGGCCAAGTACGCTCAGCATCTTCGGGTCGGGCGAAAGGGGGGGATAGCAAAGGGGGGGATTGAGAATCAGCTCACGTAGCTGATTTCCCGGCGCCTCCCGGCGCCGGAGGCGACCATGTATCGAGGAATGGGCCCCTGAGGCCGAAACCAGCTGCATGCAGCAAATTTCGTAACCCCCCCTTTCCCAATCCCCCCCTTTCGCCCGGCCCGACATCTACAGGGCTTCGCCCGGATCTGTTTCTGACGTTCCCAGGGCATGGACGGCCGCCGGAGGCCGAACAGGGCCCAACATCTTCTCGCTCCCAGGACCGCGAGCCTGCCCCCCGTTCCTGCCCTGACCTTCCAGAGAGCCATGCTTTAGCACTGGAGACCTGAAAAAACCTAAAAAGCTGGGCGAAACAGCCCAAAACCAAGACGTAGAATAGCTTCGGGATAAGGTTTTTAAGTCGGGTGCTATGTTTCAGCCCTCCCGGAAGGTCAGGGTGCTCGCTGAAACCAACGCTGGGCCACCTCGGGTCCCCCCGGCCGGCTCCAATCCTTCGCCTTCATGGCCAAGCCGAACTGCTTCACCTCCGGAGGGTCCGCCAGCAGCAGCCAGCCCAGCAGCGCCTTGGCGGCCCCGCCGCCGTCCCCGCGCGGGCCTCTCGGGGGGAACGACAGGGGGGGGGTAGCAAAGGGTGGGATAGAGAATCAGCTCACGTAGCTGATTTTCCCAGCGCCTCCCGGCGCCGGGAGGCGCCCACGTATCGAGGAATGGGCCTGGCGGCGGGGCCGGAACCAGCCGCATGCAGCAGACTTCGTAAGCCCCCCTTTCCCTGTCCCCCCCTTTCGCTCGGCCCCGGCCTCGGGGCGCGCGAGCCTGCCGAAACCTTGCTGCAAGGGCCCTGGGGAGAGCGAGGAAGGCGCGTGCCTGCCCGCTGGCCCCCGACCTCCGGCCCGCCGGGTCCTCTGACGAGCTGGGGTGGAGGAACAAAAAATGGCATGCCCAAAAACTGTCGGAGGACCTCGCGGATTTCTTGGATCGGCGCTGGACCACCTCCGTGGCGCGCGGAGCGTGCCAGGGCGGCGCCGGAGGCGCCGCTGGGAGGGCGCCAGCGCCGATGCAAGACATCCGCGAGGGCATCCAACAGTTTCTATGTCTGCCATTATTAGTCCCCGATGGGGGCCTCGCTGCCCTGCGCACCGAGGCCCCTCCGCCGCCACTCCAGGCGGCCAGCTCGCCGCCCTGCGGCAGCCGTTCGCGGCAGCCCGCCAAGACTGGTCCACAGCGCCCCCCGCAGGAACAGCCACTTGAGGCGCTGCGACTTCACCACCAGCAGCGGAGGTCTCAGAGCGGTGCTGTACATCGTCAGCAGCTGCGTCAACACGTCCAGCCACCTGCCACCGCCCACGTCCAAGAATACCGCGTCGAAGGGTGGCCCCTGCCCCTGCCTGGCGCCAGCCAGCTCCAACAGACGCCTCACGTCGAACGCGTCGCACACCTCGAAGCGGGCACCCGGCAGCCGCTGCCGCGCCTCCTCGACGACCGCCGCGCCGATGTCGATGCCCAGGAAGCGACCAGCGTCCCCCACGGCACTGGCCAGCACCGCCGACGTCCCGCCGGTGCAGCAGCCCACCTCGAGCACGCTGTCGCCAGCCGCGACCAGACTCTGCCCCGCGGCCCGGTACTCGTTGACGGCCTCGCAGACGACCACGCGGCCCCCCAGCTGCGCCAGGTTCCTCGCGTGCCTCCAGCTCCGCCTGTGCCTCCGCACGTCCTCGCGCGGCGCCCCGCGCAGGTCGGCCCCGCACTCGCAGAGCCCCTCGGGCACCCCCGCGGGGCGCCCGCCCAGCCGCGCGCTCAGCCGCCGCGCGGCCCTCTCCAGCGAGGCCAGCCAGCCCGCGGTCCTATCCAGCGCCGCGGCGGCCAGCGCCGCCGCCACCGGCACCCCCCGCGCCCCCGCCGGCGCGCGCGCGGCCCGCGGGGGCCGGCTGGGCTCAGGTCGGGCATGTCCCCCTGCAGGCGGATTTTCGGCGAAAAACTAAAGGAAAACATCGAATTTGTTCTAACAATTTCCCTTTCGGTCTGGGTCAGGGGCTGCGGCTCGCATGCCGGAGGGAGCTTAAGCACGCTAGACGATCCTGTTAGTGTTCGCGCAGCTCTTTGGAGCGCATCCCGCGGCAGAGTGACTTCCAGGAGCTTCGAGAAGTCTAACTATTTTTGAAGATTCCTCCTGTAGAGGGACATGCCCGACTTGAGGCTGGGCGTGCCGCGGGCCTGCGCGCCCCGCGAGCGCGCCCCCGCGGCGGCTGGGCGCACAGGCGGCGGCAGCCTGCGCGGCGGGCGAGCGCGCCACGCGAGCGGGCTCGCCGACGCTGCCACTGGCTCGCCCCAGCCCCCGGGGCCAGGGGGGCGAGGAGCCGATGCCGCCGTGCCAGCTTGGACCTCCATCTTTCGGGAGGAGGAAAGTGGAGGAGGAGCAGGAGGAGGAGGAGGAGAAGGAGGAGGAGGGAGGAGGAGGAGGAGGTTGAGGAGGGAGGAGGAGGAGGAGGAGGGGGATGAGGAGAAGGAGGAGGAAGAGGTGGAGGAGAGAGTAGGAGTAGAAGTAGGAGTAGAAGTCTGAGTAGGAGTAGGAGTAGGAGTAGGAGCAGTAGGAGCAGTAGGAGCAGTAACAGTAGCAGTAGTAGTTAGTAGTTAGTAGTTAGTAGTTCGTAGTTAGTAGTTAGTAGTTGCTAGTTAGTAGCAGTAGTAGCAGCAGCAGCAGCAGTAGTAGTAGTAGTAGTAGTAGTAGTAGTAGTAGTAGTAGTAGTAGTTAGTAGTTAGTAGTTAGTAGTTAGTAGTTAGTAGTTAGTAGT